AAGACAGGAGGGCAAGTGGAGCCCTATTGGCTGTTGCTCGTACCCTTCAAGCTCTTGCAATACTTTCTGTTTGTTTGGTGGGAAAATAGTGAGGAGAGGAGAAAGAGGAGGGCCAATCTCTTTGAAGTTACCATTTGAGATCTGCCACTTTTGTTTACAGGGTAATGCTCTGATTTGCTCGTTAATTTGGAAACACCACCCCCATTGTAGCTTTTTGTTATTTTGAATTCACTATGTGGTGCTGTTGAATGTTGATTTTTCATTGTGATTTGTGTAGCGTTGGCATTTGGGTTACTAATTTTGGATAAAGAAGCAATTTTTAACATCTGGGTGGTGTGCAAATTTGATTTGGAAGATAACCCAGTTACTAGTTGGACTTTATAATTGTGGTGAATTTTCTTTTTGGATAAAAATAGGCAATCTTGGCATCTGGGTGTTCTTCCATTTTTTCTTTTGAAACTACCCAGTTGCTAGTTGAACTGGATGATGGTAAATAGTTTTCATCTTTGATTGCTTAAATTTACTGGCATTTAGCAGAAAACTTATAAGTTGCCATGGAAAGTTAATTATCTAGCTGATTTGTCTTTCCTTTTTTGTTTCCCTATATTTCGTTCGATAACTTTTTCGGTCATTAAAATGCTGATTTTGAAGGATGTGCCTTGTACATTTTATAATATGTAGAATTAGATGCAGTCATAATTCTATGCAATTGAAATTTGGAAGTGAAGTTTGACTTGTTTTTCACAGGGATTAGTTCGAGGAATGTTAAGGAGATGGGGAAGAAAGGTTGGTTTTCTTCAGTAAAGAAAGCTCTGAGCCCTGATTCCAAGGAAAAGAAGGAACAGGTTTGATGATATTCGAATTCCTCTTAACATTGTATTTTATTGTATATTCCATTACCAGTCTCTGATGTTTTTTGTAACTTTTTTTTCCAGAGATCAGATAAATCGAAAAAGAAATGGTTTGGGAAGCAAAAGTACCCAGAATTCGAGTCTACCTCTTATCAACCATCCACTATATTGCCACCTCTTCCGCCACAAGAAGAGGTGAAATTAACCAATGCGGAGAATGAGCAGAATAGTGATGCTTACTCTGTTCCAGTCACCACCACAGTCTCCACCACTGCAGTGGCTGAGCCTGTGGTTTCTCTGGCTCCTCCGACTCAAGCGGCTGTGGAGGTCGTCAGACTTCCCACAGTTACTCATTATGCTGGAAAATCAAGGGAGGAAGTGGCAGCTATCAAAATTCAAACCGCATTTCGAGGATACTTGGTATTGCTTATAGAACTTTATGTTTTGGTCTTTGACATCTTTGATGCCAGCGTTCATAAGTTTACAAATGGATGCTAAAATTTAACCTGATATTTTGAAATTAACCTGAGTTAATTTCTGAACTCATCAGGCAAGAAGGGCATTGAGGGCTTTAAGAGGGCTGGTTAGGCTGAAATCATTGATAGAGGGGTCTGTTGTGAAACGGCAAGCCACAAATACCCTCCGATGCATGCAGACTCTATCTCGTGTGCAATCTCAGATACGTTCAAGGAGGATTAGGATGTTAGAAGAGAATCAGGCTCTGCAAAGGCAACTCCTACTGAAACATGCAAAAGAGCTTGAAACTTTGCGGGTCTGTTTTATCACTCTTAGTGTGTTATAATCTTTACTACTAATTACAGTGTGTTACAAAGTCTAACCTGTTTTCCTTTGGATTTCTCAATTCATTTCCATATTATTTGTAAATCCTACGAGCTGTTTAAGAGACAAGTCATATTGGCTAGATTTTTATTTGAACTCAATTTCCAAACCTTTCTTTTGTGAATAAACTAAACACTATGGGTTCAAAGTTTTGTCTTGAGCTGGTGCGAGAAATGCAAGTTAGAATTATTGCGTTGTTGACCCATCCAAGTCAAATGGGACAGTTACAAAGGTTGAAATCAAATCAAAGATTCCCAAACAGCTCTATATTTGTAGTTTAATTGAGGGAACTTTTCATCTAGATGAATCTCAGCAGTTAACGCATTTTGAAAATTGATACAGCTCGGGGATGAATGGGATGATAGCATACAGTCGAAGGAGCAAGTTGAAGCTAACCTATTAAGCAAACATGAGGCAAGCGATGAGAAGGGAAAGAGCACTTGCTTATGCATTTTCTCATCAGGTATCCTAAATCTATTCTTTTACATAACATAAATGAATTGAAAAGATGAGGGAGGAGTAGCCTATGTATTCAACTAATTTTGTTACTATGCTATTTGAATTGTTATGAGCCTTGCTATCCTTTAGGTTTTTTCATCCAAGCCTGAAACTTAGTACCGCACATATCATTCTAAGCAATTCCCCGATATTCAGGAGAAGTTACTCTAGCTCCTGTTGACTTCTTGTTTCTTTTCATAATTGTTAACAAGGTTGTCAATTTTACTTTTATCACACGGTTTCTATACTTGGAGTTAAAAGGTGTAAGCTTGGTCACCAGTGTTATGGTGCATGTAAAATTAGGTGACATAGAGGTAGTTTATAAATGCAGCTACCCGAGCTACATTAAGGTCTGTAAAATCAACGGTTAGGTTTTGGTTTGATAAAAAGAAAAAAAAGTAACTTGGTTTCCTTTTGCATAGTTTCCTTTTCTGCGGGTGGTTTGATTGGTCGTGTCCTGTTGTGTGTGTGATATAAAACATGTAAAAAATACATGTAGCGAATATAAAGTACATGGTCTCTGTTTTCCTGAATCTTGAATGGGCCTCATTCTTGGTCTAACCTCTTGATCACTCTACAGAAAAATGGGAAGAATACTACAAAATCTGTAAACCCTATGTTCATGGATCCAAGCAATCCCACCTGGGGATGGAGCTGGTTGGAAAGGTGGATGGCTGCCCGGCCTTGGGAGAGTCGTGGCATGACGGATAAAGACATGCAAGACGACCATGCATCTGTAAAGAGTGCAAGTCGCGGCATGTCTGCTGGAGAAATTAATAAGTCCTATGCTCGCTACCTCCTGAATTCCGACAAGCAATCCCCAATAGCCAGTGAAAAGCCAAGCCATCCTGGGTTCCGGTCCCCTTCAACTCCTTCCAGGCCAGCTTCGAAAGTAGCTCGAAAGTTAAAGCCAGCAGCAAGCCCAAGGGGAAGTAGGGGGCCGGATGATGACACAAAAAGCATGGTGAGTGTGCAATCAACTCAGTTTAGGAGGCACAGCATTGCTGGCTCCTCAGTGAGGGATGACGAAAGCCTAGATAGTTCTCCAGCAGTTCCGAGTTACATGGTACCAACTAAATCCGCAAGAGCTAAGTCCAGGCTGCAGAGCCCAGCAGAGAAGAATGGGATCACCGAGAAGGACTCGCCGCCTGAGTCAGCTAAGAAACGGCTGTCATTCCCAGCCTCACCCGCTCGACCAAGGCGGCATTCTGGTCCACCAAGGGTTGACAGCAGTATAATTACAGAAAACAAAACGACCAATATTGGAGTGGAAAGCTAATTATTTCCAGCACAGAGAAGAAGAGTGGAAGAAAAGCTGTTTCATGGACCAAAAGGTAAAGAAAGAAATAAAGGTTTATTGCATCTGTGAATTGTTTAATTTCTTTAATTTGTTATTCCTGAAAAGTTGGTGGTGTGGGGTAAAATTGAGTCCCAGGAGTTTGCTTGTGATGCAAGCAATGGGGCAATTTGTTGTTATTTATTCATATTTGTTTATTTGTATCTGATATAATTACATCTCTTATCCGGGTCCTTGCCATTGTCAGAACCCATTTCTTAAAAGACTGATATTGTTGTGTTGAATTTCTTGTTTCCTCGAATTGGTGATTAAAATTAAAATTTATATATTATGTATTTAATTTATGGATTATTGTTAGACTAGTTCATGCCACTAATAAGTGACAACTGGGTGTGAAGTATTTGATCGTATGTTTATGCTGATGGTTAGAGTTGGAAAAGAAAATTGACACGTCCCAACCCAGATATCCAAATGACATCTGGATGACACGTGCATATGACAATAAAATTGGGAGCGAAGGAATCGAAAAACTCGAAGATGGTAGTATGGAATGGGAATCGGATCACCTAGGCCCTAGTTGATTAGTTTCCTAATTTTAAGACAAACTTTAAAAGAAGACTCGCGTTTTTTTTTATTTCATATATCTCAGTAAACCTAAGGAGGTGATACAGAGTGAATTGAAAAAGAAAAGCATGTGTGCTTCTCGAAAAAGCTTTTTGAAGCAGCATCCAATATGTGCTTTACCAAAAACACTTCTATGAAACATAAACATTTTAAAATTTTCCGAGCAATCTCGTACATGCCTTATATAACCGTTCAATATTCGACAATTAATAGCATTATTAGAGATTCAAAATAACAAAATGATTTTGTAGCCCAAGTTATTATCTATAACCTTCGCATTTATACTAATAATAAAAAAAAACCTTCATGTTTATGAAATAAAAATGAGTTATTGTTACTTTATTACCCTCAAATAATGTGAAAATTTGCACTTCGTCGCCCTTAGTTTTTTTCGTCTCAATAACTTTGATTTTTATGATGGTTTTATACATCTATTAGGTTTTCTGCTAAATCTTTCGCTAAGTGATAATGTGACATAACCTTGGGCCATCATATTTGCTAATAAGAAGTATCACCCAATGGCTTGGATTTACTGGACAATTTCACATTCATGTGAAAACTGTGGTGGCCAAAGTTATGTCACGTCATCACTTAACGAATAACTTAACTGAAAACCTAACGAAAGTATTAAAATGTCATAAAAATCAAACTTTAAGTATGAAATTAAGACGAAAAAATTTTTAGATATTAAAATACAAATTTTACGATTCTTGAGGATACTAAAATAAAAATCACCCAATCAAAATATTAAAATACGAAAAAAAAAAAAAAAAACAAAACAAACAAAACAAAAGTCCTTTCCTTTTACGGCGAGTAGTTTCCTTTGGCTTCTTCTACAAGTGCTCGGTTTGTGGTTGTCGGCGGCCTTCTCGTTTTGTAATTAGATATTTACGTTTATTTAACCGCCAAACGAACACGAAAACATTAAACTTTTTTTTTTTTTTTTTTTTGCGAAGAAATACCTCGCGAAAGGAAAAGACCATAAACCCTAGCGCTTGGCCGAGCCCTAACGGAACTGTTTCTCCGATCTCGAAAGAGCTGCACAAATGGTGAGTCCTCTTCCCAATATCCTCAATCTTTCTGTGTATATATTTGTTTCGATATGCGAATCTAAATTTCTTCATATCCGAAAGGGAAGTAATTTGTAGATTGGGATTATCTGGGTGATTCCAAGCAAGGGTTTGGCGTCTGTTCTAGATGTAATTAGGGCTCAATTAGCTACACACACCTTCGGATTCAGATGAAAAAGCTTGGGAGCTGAAAAATTTAGATCTTTTGTCTACATTTGAAAAATAAGTTATTTTTTCAGATTATTTGCTTTTTATTGCCTAATGAGCGAGGAGTTTTAAGAATTTTAATCTTTATGGATCGTGGGTGTTGATCATTGAACACTGTCTCTTGTTTTTTTTTTTTTTTTTTTTTTCTCGTTTTGATTGTTAGAATTTAGGTGTGGTACTGTCCATATTTGAGTAGGGAATTTTATGCTTTGTGTAACTCGGAATATAACAACAGAAGATTGTACAGTTGAGCCTTTATGTTTGATTTCACAGCTATGTACTCTGTTTTTCGAGGATGAGTTAACCGCCCCTAGTTGCAAAATAGTTTTCTTTTTTATTTTTTATTTTTCTTGTGACATTGCTGCACACGCTACCGGTGAAGCTTATGTATAAGATTTGCAACAGGTCACGCCGTTGGTAGGAGGAATTGCTGTAGCTGCTGCTGCATATGCTGGTAGGTATAGCATTCAGGCTTGGCAAGCGTTCAAAGCAAGACCACCGACAGCTAGACTGCGGAAATTCTATGAGGGTGGTTTTCAATCTACCATGACCAAAAGGGAAGCTGCTCTCATACTTGGAGTGAGGTACCACCAACTGGCCCCTTCTTGAAATATATATGAATCTATGTTGTATTTGAGTCATGGAAACTATATTGCGACAGGTTAATGTACATTATGGCGATGATTGCATAAAAATTTCTTTGAAATGTTCCTGTTGCTAATGTTTCCTCAAATATGAGTCTATTATTCGGGTGTGGAGTTTTTCAAGCAATTGCAGCTCTACTGCCTTACATATATAGAAAATAATAAATGGATGAGGCTAGGTCTATTTGGTAGTTGGACTGGTTAATCCTTAAGCATGTCCGAAGGAGCTTATTGCTTATTTTAGAACCCACTATGTAATTAGCAGTTCCTCCCTTAGTTGTAGTTGTGGAAGCCGGGTCTTTTTATTTCATATTGTACCTATTGGTATTCCTTGCTTCTTTCAGAACCTTGGCCCTGGCTTCTTTACATTGTTTGAATTGCTCCTGTTTACCAAACAATTGGGTAGCAAAGGACCGAAGCCCATCAATTTCTGCACCAGTTCCGGAAGAGCAAAGAAAAAGGGGCCCAAGAATTGCGGTATAGCCTTTGGGAACATGCAAAGAAAGAGGCTCAGGAAGAGGAACCTCTGACCCAGATCAAGAAGGGAACTCTATCCTTAAGCCTAGTCTTTCACCATTCAAAGTACTACCTCTGCCTTCCCTTTCTATAACATACCTGGGGTGCCCTCCTTACCAATCTAATCAAAGCCCTACAGTAATGTTTCGTCTGTTACTTAGAATTACAAAATTAACCTTAGATCAGCAGCAAATATGTGCCAGCAGGCTGTGGTTCATTCCTTTTACCCTTCTTTGCAGCCAAAGTTGGGTTATTTAGAATTGCGAAATTTGTTACTTTTTTTTTTTCTTTAGGCATATATGTATCAAAATGTTTGTCCTGTCACTGATCTTTTAACCGTAGCCGTGGTTTTAACCCTGTATATACCTGAGCCTTGAGGTTAGCTGAGTAGCATCCAATATTTTAGGTTCTGCTCAATTATAATTTTGGAGAGCTTGTGGGTGCCTAGTACAAAATTGGTTATCTGTTCTAGGTCCTTTGATTTTCACAAGAGATTTCTTCATTGGCGTAAATGACAGGAAGCTCAACTAGTGCTGGCATGTTTCCTATTGTCGGTTTTCAGTAGCTTAAGCTGTGTTATACAGCGAATTTTCCAAGTCTTGATATTGTGCTCAGAAGTTCATATTTTCGTCAAAATTTCAAACTTTTACGCCTGACATGAGCTCAACCCATGCACACTTGGTCCTGCTCAATTAGAGCAAGTCTTGAGCTGTAAGACCGAGAAAAAGTGCAAGCTGTGGGATACTGTTTTATTATCCTTTTGCTTATATCCTCTATACGTGATGTTCGTGTATATATATTTTGTATTTTTCTCAGGGAGACTACTCCTAATGACAAAATCCGGGAAGCACATCGGAGGGTGATGGTTGCTAACCATCCGGATGCAGGGGGTAGTCATTACCTTGCATCCAAAATTAACGAAGCTAAAGAAATGATGCTTGGAAGAACCAAGGGCACCGGCTCTGCATTTTAATTGTATTAACTTGTCCTTTCCGTTGCATCAATGCCATTCTTGCGAAGGTTTCACATAGTGAGTTTTAGGAGTGTTATCTTTGTTTCGGATCAATAATTTTCGGCGTATATGAACGATTTTGTAGCAGTGAAATTATAATTTGAGGATCCTGTAGTTGGTTCTAATTGGAACTCTTGTACGTTTAATTTCGTGTGAAAATTCTGTAGTAGTGAAGTCATATTTCTGGGATCTTTGCTAGTTTGCTTTGCTCCTCAAAACTCGAACTCCCCAATACGACACGTATTTTTTTGCTGTGACACGCCTGTCAATATAATTTTCTTTCCTAAACAATCTATTTAATACGGAAAATAAGTTGTGGAAAAGACTACAAACCCTCGTCTTCACTAAAGGCCAAACAACCATAACGTTGGGATACTTTCTACTCTTTAACTATTTTTCTTTGTAATTTTGGGGTCCTTCTTGTCTTTTAGGATCCGTTAATGCATATGAGTCTCATATCTACTAGAAAGATGGTGCAAGTGATAATATAAATGTGTGTTACTTTTTTATTTATAATCATTTTCCTTGTGTGTAGAATGAAAAGTTGGGCGTAAAAATCATTTCTTGTTGATTACACACCTAGGAGTCAATTTTAAAGAGAGTGAGGTAGAATATTTGAGTGATTCGGGGATGGTGGATGATGTGTTGGAGATTTGTGATTTGGGAATTAATAAACACATTTTTAGCTTGCCACACATCTTTGTTATTAAGTATGTTGTTTCAGTTTGTTTTATGCAATCCAAAGGTCAAAAATAAAGAAAAAGTGTGTGAAAGCCAAATAAGGTTCGTGATAATCTCCTTCGTTGCAATTTTTCTTCGTTACCTACAGGCATTGAGAGCCGATGTTTTTGAACCGTTAGACCAAATTTAATGGTCACTGTTCATTTGTTTTTTAGCCTTTGAATACAATTCAACAGTGAATTACGATCTGTGTTGGTAGGCACCGAAGAAAAATCAATTAGGAGAATGAATCGAGAAGTGTTAGAAAAGACGGGAGCCACCAAAAAATGCATTTGTGACTACCAGAGGTCGTGGTGGACGACTTCGAGGTAATGGACGTGGTGTGTCTCCGTTTGCACGTGGTGGTGGTGCTGCCAACCAGCGAGGTTTCTTTCCTCGCAGTAATAATCAACGGCTAAACTCGGCTTGCAATGGTGAGAAGTTCACGGCTACAGGTGAAAGACTTACTTGTCAAATATGTGGAAAACAAGGGCATCCTGCCCTAGATTGTTATCAAAGAATGAATGTAGCATATGAAGGGCGCATTCCAGCCAAGAGACTTACTGCTATGGCAACATCACCGGTCACCATCAACAAGCAATCTAATGGACAGTGGTTGCTTGACACGGGTGCTAATGCACATGTCACTCCAGATCTTCAAAATTTGATCAATCCAAAAGAGTATAATGGTAATGAAAATGTTGGTGGTGTAGGTAATGATACTGGTCTCTCTATCTCTCATCTTGGTTCAAATACAATTCAAACTCCGTCTTGCTCATTTGAATTACAAAATATTCTAAGATGTCCCACTGCCTCCACCAATATTATTTCTGCCCATAGGTTTACCCTAGATAGTAATTGTTATTTAATCATCTTTCCTCATTTTTTTTCTTGTTAAGGACCTCATGACCCGGAAGACGCTTTTCCACGGGAGATGTGAGAATGGCTTATATCCATTTTCTGGTGGCGGTGGACAGTTCAATTACCCTATTTCAGTGTGTGTAGGCATCCGAGTCTCGGCCCAAAAATGGCATTCACGCCTTGGTCACCCTTCGTCGTCTATTATTAAGTATTTAATTTCAAATAAGCGAGTACCAATTCATGGTACTTCTGATGCAATGTTTTGTCAATCATGTCCATTAGGAAAGAGTAATAAACTCCCCTTTAGTGCTTCTGAGTCTGTTTCCCAATTTCCTTTGCAATTTTACATTCGGATGTTTGGTGTTCTCCAGTTGTTTCACATGAAGGTTTTAAATATTATGTCTTGTTTGTGGATGACTATTCTCGATACTCTTGGATCTTTCCCATTAAAAATAAGTCTGAAGTGTTTGAAATATTTGTCACATTTAAATCTAAAGTGGAAAATCTGTTCAATACTTCCATTAAAAATTTTCAGTGTGATGAAGGAGGAGAGTATAAGAGTTGTGTTTTTCAAAATTTTCTTGCACAACATGGAATTTCTCAAAGATTTTCATGTCCCAAACATCCTGAGCAAAATGGTATTGCAGAAAGAAAACATCGACACATTGTCGAAACTGGTATTGTCATGCTTTCTCATTCTCATATTTCAAACAAATATTGGCCTGATGCTTGTTTAACAGCAACTTATTTAATCAACAAGCTGCCAACTCGGATTTTGTCCTATAAATCACCATATGAAAAATTATTTGGCAAATTTCCCAAATATGAGACGTTTAAGGTATTTGGTTGTAAGTGTTTTCCTTGGCTTGTGCCTTATTCCCAAAATAAACTTCAACCCAAGTCAAAACCGTGTGTATTTCTAGGATACTCACTGAACCATCAAGGGTCCAAATGTTTGGACTTGTCCACGAGGCGAATATATTTGTCTCGCCATGTTCTATTCGATGAGGACTCATTTCCATTTAAGGAACTCACATCTCCACTGGAAAACGTTGATCAAATAGGTATTGCTACATCCCCTGATCTTTTGTTCACTTTTCCTATTTTAATATCTTCCACCAACTCACTGTCTTCATCCCATAACTTAGTGACCTTGCCTCAATCAATTCCCGCTGCCACTGCATTGACCAACCCTCCACAAAGTCCAAACCTATCACTACCTACAAACCCGCCAACTACCTTATCTTCACCTAACCCTATCTCCACTCATCCTAATTTAAATGAGCAAGCAGAAGTTTTTGAACCACCCTTACATCCGCCCATACCATCTTCAGATCATGCCCATACTCAGATAAGTCAGACCTCTGAGCCATTGCAATGCATGACAACTCGTTCGCAGTCAGGAATACTAAAACCTAATCCTAAATATGCATTGCATGTTTCTACTGATTTTTCTTTTGTTGAACCCACGTGCTATAGTCAGGTAGTCAAGACTAAAGCATGGCGAGATGCCATGGTCCAAGAGTTTAATGCATTGCAACGTTGTGGTACGTGGAAACTTGTTCCTTATCATCCTAATATGAATCTGTTGCCAAATAAATGGGTGTTCAAGATCAAAAAAAGGGCAGATGGCTCGGTGGAGAGGCACAAGGCCAGGTTAGTTGCCAATGGATTTCATCAACAGTCTGGTATTGATTACACAGAGACCTTTAGTCCTGTGGTCAAGCACAGCACTATTCGACTTGTTCTCAGTTTAGCAGTTTCAAAAAGGTGGCACATAAGACAACTGGATGTACAAAATGCTTTTTTGCATGGCTTTTTACAGGAGGATGTATATATGCGGCAACCTACTGGCTTTGTTGATCAGCAGTATCCTAATCATGTGTGTAAATTACAACGCAGCATCTATGGCTTGAAACAAGCCCCTAGAGCGTGGTTCCATCGATTTTCAGAGTTTCTTCTTCAATTAGGGTTTCACGGGTCAACTTGTGATTACAGTTTATTTGTTTTCAATCACCGTGGGGTCTATTTGATTTTATTGATTTATGTGGATGACATCCTGTTGACAGGAAATAGTCCTTGCCATATGTCGAGATTGATCAAGAAATTGGGTACTTTATTCTCAATGAAGGACTTAGGTCCTCTCCATTATTTTTTGGGGGTCGAAGTTAATTATTTTGGTCAACAAATGCATCTCAATCAAGCAAAGTATGCATTGGATTTGCTGAAACGTACAAATTTTTTGGATGTCAAACCAATTTCTACTCCAGTTCCTAGTGGTCACAAACTTAGTGCATATGATGGTGAGCCACACAACAATCCAGAGATGTACCGGAGTATTGTGGGTGCCCTGCAATACTTGACAATCACGAGACCAGACCTTTCTTATGCTGTGAACCAGGTATGTCAGTTCATGCATTCTCCAAAAACTACACATTGGCAGGCCGTAAAGAGGATTCTTCGGTATGTAAAGGCCACATACAATCATGGCCTTGTCTACAAACCTGGTTCTACTCATCTCATGGCTTATTCTGATGCTGATTATGCTGGTAATCCAGATACTCGACATTCAACTGGTGGTTTCTGTATTTATTTTGGGTCCAATCTCGTGTCCTGGAGTTCTAAGAAACAAAAGACTGTTAGTAGGTCCAGTTCTGAAGCTGAATATAGGCAGCTTGCTTACACCGCTGCAGAAATTTCGTGGCTCAGGTCTTTATTTCGAGACTTGAACTTGCATCTTGACATACCCACAATTTGGTGCGACAATATTTCCTCAATTGCTCTTGCTTCCAATCCCATGTTTCACTCAAGGACAAAGCACTTGGAGGTTGATTACCATTACGTTCGAGAGAAGGTGGTTCGTCGTCAGTTACTTGTTAATTACATTTGTTCTCAAGATCAGGTTGATGATCTGTTCACAAAAGGATTATCATCAACAAGGTTCAAGCTTCTTGTTTCCAAGCTTTCCGTTGTTCCTCCACCTGTTAGCTTGCGGGGGGATGATAGACCACGTCAGTCTGTGATTCTCACTTCCGAGACTTCAGGGAGTTGTGATCGCTCTAAACTCTTATCCATGAAGAGTTAGCTTAGGTTACAACTCTTTCAAATGTTTGTTGGTTCTCGGATATATATATTTCCTCCAGTTTGTTGTAATCTTTAAATTTTGAAAAGCCTTGTAAATAGGGATTGCTTTCCCTGATGTAATCTAAAATGCAATATAAATACATGCAGCCTCTCGTTAAGGGGATATGCAATTAACGTGAACTCTTGAGCATTCTTAAGTTTTACATCTTCTTCTTCTAAACTCACAACAACAACAACAAATTCGAATCCAGATTCTCGATCAATATGACGACGACCTCCATTCTGTTCCCAATCTTGATCACCTTCCTCTTCCTTTTCACCACCATCACTGCCTCCCAACCCATTACTTTCCCCATCCTTACCATCCACACTACCAGTGTCCTCCAATGACACCACCGTTGCCGTTACGCCGACACTTTCAGCCTCTTACTTTGTGGAGGCCCAAATTGGGCTTCCACGGTTTCCCGTCAAACTGGCTTCAGCCAAGGGATCTTGGGGATTGACACCTTCTCATTGGTGTCGCG